CACTTCATTAGTCAGAATATGAATTATGTGAGCATTTCAGAGAGCAATCTGTCAGGATTAACCAAAGATTGATGATAAACAAATACTTAGGAACGTCTAGGTTAAAAAGATGTGAAAACACCAATAGGCAAGACAGTGTTTAACATTCATTAATTTATAAATTTCATGAGTGTAAAGGAAAAGATGATACAATTTTCTGTAAAATACAGATTTTATTAGAAAAATGTTACCACAGAAGTAAAATGAACAAAATAATTTCAAGAGATAATAGTTGCTATTTGTGCTGTGTTAAATTAAGAGCCGTATAAGACAGCATTTGTAACTTTTACAAAATTCACAAATGAAACAAATATGTTGTTTAAAGATACCTACATGTATATGGTAAAATATACATATAGGTTCAGGTATATGTGCTAAATTTTATAGTATATAATTTTATACATGTTGAGTTATTTATTAGGCCCAAGTGGATATGACAATTAAGCAATTGTATATGTGAATCTAAACCAAGTGGAGAGGTCAGAATAATAAAATTTGGGAGTGATTGGCATATGAACTTATGAGATTGAATATAAATTTATGGGACTGAATGAGATAATCTAGAAAAACAGAAATACATGAAAGGTAAGTACAATCTCCAGTAGCAAAGGATTGCAAACAATTGTCCATCAATAGAAAATTGTAATAAATTCTGGTATCACTTTCACTTATGATATGTAGTATATATATCTCAACCTGAGAAAACAATTTTCAGAATATCATGGACAGTATGTTCAATATATGTAAAAATTGAACATAAATGTTTGCACATGTTTAGGTAGTGCAAAGATTTACTGTTAGCTGTGGGGAATAGGGAAATTTTTAAACTTTTTCTTTTGAAGCATCTTGTTATATTAGTATCTTAATTTTAAAGCATATAACACTCTAATGACTGAATAACATAAAGCAAATGTGCCTGGAAATTATTTTACAACATACACGAATCTTAGAGTTATGACAGAAGCCACATTCTATTCATGTTCTGCTTACATTCCTTTGTATTGTCTGAGTCTTTTTTCTCCCCGTGTTTTCCCTATGCTGATGGGACATGCTATGCATGCCTTGCAGAAATCTAGAAAATGCCCAGGAATTTGTATCTTCCTTGAGGCAGCCATTAACCAATAGCTGACAGATGAGAACATAGCAGTTTTCCAGATCCTGTTCTCCTTACTTGGAAATTCTAAAATGGGTTTCAGGACCTTTCGTGAGAATTCGCATGTCTTAGGAATTTGCGTGGAGTCACAATTTAACCTCATGTCCTTTCCTTCCTGATCCCATTTCCCAGCTGCTCTTGTGGCATTATCTGGAAACATTTTCTTGATAAATGCTTGTATATGTGTCCTTTTGTCCAATTTTCATTGTGAGATTTCTGACCTAAGACAAAGACCAGTCAACTTAAGTGTCCATAGACGTCACTAACTCTGAGAGCACAGGGGTCATGGATATACGCCAGGTGCTCCGATTTTCGGGAGTGACTCCTAGGCTTATTCACTTACCTTGTAGCCATGTGTAATTCATCAAACTCCTTCATGCCTTTGTTTTCTCATCTGTAAGACAGGATGATGCTTGGATTACTTAATGGAGCTATTCTGAGGAGTAAATAAAACAATGAACTTAAAGTGCATCAGACACCTTAGTCACTGAACAATGATATCAAAGTTAACAAAGCTGCTTTATGTAAGTATCAACTGCTTATCTCTATGCAGGCTGTGGCATGTCTGACAAAGGAAACATTTCTTTTAAATGAAAGTGCAGACCTCTGGAATCTTTCTTAAGATGAAAATCACCCTTTGTAGGGTATTATTTTATTATGTGTAATCATGTGATGTAAACAAAGTCAGAACATTATTGATTTTAATGGGACTTTGATTAATATAACATTATTAGATAAAAAGTCTACATGTTGAGTAGTTGTGGGCACATTTGAATATTGTTTGGAATAAAGTTACAATATATCCTATTTTTACAATGTATCCCTGTGAATAATATATGATAATATTATAAAATAAAATAGATATAATGGACCAAACAATGAAACTTATAAATCCTAGTAGCAAGCACATTTTGTCACTGAATACTAAATAATTTTAATGTTTTAACATTATTTGTGGAGATAGTAAATGATCATATACTTTTATCAACCTAGTTGTCCTTTCATGATTAAAGTAACTCATTGTCTTCTCTGTATAAAGTTTTATCATTCTAAAATCTTACTATAAAATTTTTCCTGGACCTTATATAAAATTTATATTAGGTGAACATACACTGCAATAATGCCTGGTCTCCATAAAATTTACTTGGTTCAGGTTTCATTCAAAGCCTGCTGACATGTAATTCTATTTACTATAAAAAGCACATTTCCTGATGGCTTCTAACTTCATTTACATTAAAATCCCTTTGTTGTAATTGCTATCATTCTCTCCTTGTTTTCCTATAATTATTCTGATTAGTGAAAATTCTCACTTATTCAGGTACTATTATTTAATCTTTGGATTTTCCAAATCCTCTTTTTTAATCCTTTTACTGTGCATTCATAACCATTTAAATGTTTATTTTTGTAATTTTGCCAGATGATAAATGACAGTCGAACCAAGTTTACAATAGTTTGCTATTTCTGTATTTTTACAGAAATCTGATCTTGATGACTGTATAACATAAAAATTTTAACCATTTGTGGATCTTAATCTTTTTTAACATTGTATACAGTTTAAAGTCAAAACCCTATACTTCTTTCTTATGGTAGTTTCATAGCATGTGTATAATTGTTAGTATTAAGAAATACTTGTAACATAATCTTAAGAACAAAGCTGCAAGTTATTTTTAGAGGCTGATAGTCACACTACTCCACAATACCTATTTTACTACACTGCACACAGTTTGAAATAATGGTAGTCGAAAGATTGTTGATAAACTAGAGAACTGAATAATAAATGCATAATTCCTCAAGTAAATTTTGAAATTAAACTGAAAACAGAGGCTAAAAACGTCAACTACTATAAAAGCAGCAGTTTATCACAGGTCAAAATACTTAGGTATTTGATAATCCAGTGATTTAAGAAAAAACAAAAAACAACAAAAAGCCCTGCCTAAGAAAACTGTGATATAGGCAAATGTATGCATGGGGATCCCAATCTTCATTTATTGCTTGTTTCACTGCCATCTGGTTTCTTTGGTCCCAAGATGTCTTTATGTTCTGTGTAAAAAATAGTTGCTGTTCCCATTCCCAGCTTTCCCAACCACCTCTTTATGTCCAGAAGCTATCAACTATTTTCCTTCCATTTCACAAACAGGTAACAGGCATTTCTACATTGATACATGTGTTCATGAAAAACAGTCATGTTGTTTAAAATTGTTTACTAAAGCTAACAATCTGAAGAGAAAATAGGTGAACCATCAAGGCCCATATAGTTTTGTAAATACAGCAAAAAAATACTAGTTCTAATAGTCTCAGGTCAGAACTTGCATTTCTCCCTTCCTATTCATTTTTTCTGGAGCCCAAAACTATTCTTTCCCTACAAAAAATTTTTGCATTGAAAAAAAAAATCTGTAAGCCTAATGACATTTTAAAATTGTTTTTTGATTATTTTAATTTCTGGAAACTCAGCAAAGGACAAAATGTTCTGCTACAATACCTATTTCCACAAAATATACTCAAGTCCAATTGGAAAGTAGAAATGTCTGTATTGAGTGTGGATGTTGGTTAATTCATGTGATCATTCCCACCATTAATATGTGGTACTAATAGGTAACAGCCACTAAACAAAAATTATGTCAGCACAGATGGATCCGAATGACTTGTCTTCTAGATTGTTCTTCTGGGCTGTTTTGGCCACCGCATCTTAGAAATGTTTATTGTGTCTTCTATCTCTGACATTTTGTTTGTTGTTCTTCTGTTTCCTTCCACGAAGTTATCCTATATTTACTCCAGTGTTTATCAAGAATATCTTAATAAATTTTCATTTATGATTTTTTGAGATAGGATCTCACTCTATTTTGAGGGTGACCTTAAACCTGCAGCAATCAACCTGATTCAGCCTCCTGAGAGCTAGGATTATAGGAATGAACCATCATACCTGGTAATAAACTGAATGAGAACTACTATTATTTTGCTGTATTTACAAAATTATATAGGCCTTGATGGTTCACCTATTTTTTCTCTTCAGTTTTACTTTTAGTAAACAATTTTGAAGAACATGAATGTTTTTCATAACACATGTATCAGTGTAGAAATGCCTGTAACATGGTTTTAAAGTGTGGAAATTGTTTACTTCTATTCTACTTTTTACTTTTTCCTTGTCTCATTCTTGTAAGCAGCAGTTTCAAGAGGAATTTCTTCCCTTCACAGTTCTCTCTATATTGTTTAAAGCTATGCAATCGATTGAGATCCCTGGCAATCTTCTCATTATTATCAATGATAAATTTAATTATGAAAGATTCCAAAGGAGCACAGTTCCAATATTACTGGTCATGTCTTAGTTTTATTAAAAGCTTAAGTGTTTAAGGAGTTCCAAAATTTGTTTCAAATATCTTTTTCAACAAGAATGTGTCCTATTTTGAGAAACTAATTATATCACATCTCTGTTTCCACTTTAAACTTTTGTCATATTCTTGGAGAAGGTTCAGGAGACTACAGCTTTTCTTACTATTGTTTCTAAGATTTAATCAGTCTCTTCTAGACTTAGAAAAAGCTGCAGAACATTGCATTCTGATCATGTACAAGTCTGTTTCCACATATTTAATAATCTCTGAGTCTACAAAATGCAAAATTCTCTTAAGCTCTACAAGAGGATGAAACCAAAAGAGATAAACATCCAAAAAATCTGGGACAAACACATTTTGTAGCAAATGAACAGGGCCCTTTGGTACCTTTTTTAACCTCCTCCCCCTCAAAACTTCTGTAAGTATTCCAGAAAGTCAGAAAATATTTTAATGTCTAACAGAAAAGAACAAGACTACACAAATTCTAACAAAATGTGGTATTTATTACAAATGAGAGGACAAATCAGAAAAAAAAAAAAATCGAGCATACAAAAAGCCAGATAGAAAGCAAGGTTTAAAAAAGTCAAAGTGAGGCACTAAAGTTGGTTCAGCTGTGTAGCAGCCAATGTGAGAAGGGTCATCTACACAATGTGCTGGGGCTATTATGAAAGAAATCAGAAGACAGTGACTCACTTTTAGAGTTAATACGAGGAACTTTTCTGAAGATTTCATGTCTGATGACATATTTTTGCATTTGGGAGAAGTTTTAGACACCAGGTTGTTCTTTCAGCCATGCTTCAATAGATTTAATTAGAATGAGGCTCATTTCAGGTTCAAGAATGTATGCAAATTGTTGATGTAATTTTATTTTCCCTTGTGTGTCCTATGTTGAGGATAGGACGCGCATATTTATCATATGTGTTAAGAATTCAGTTTTCAGAGTGCTGCATTTGATTAGCAGCTAGGGAAATGGGCGTGGGGTACTCTGTAAGCCTTGTATTTGTCATCCTTGAGATCCTACACACTGGAGGCTGGATCTTAAGGCCTCAGAGGCAGATGCAGAGGGATTTCCTCAGGCTCCTGTTGTCCCTTTCCTTTCATTAAATGATAAAAACAACCAAGAGTTACGAACTTTTCTGTCTTTAAAGAACAGTACAAGGTTAATGTCTCTGGGGTTAGGAGGTCAGTCTTGTGCTTAGGATGTAACTGCTTAGAATTAGCTATGGAACCTTAGGCAAATCTTTCAGTATTGCTGTAAACTATTTTGTAATACGTTGGTAGATAACTACGTGTCCTTCTAAATACCAGGACCTCCCCACACACATAGCCCATTATCACTAATTTTACTTAGAAGGCATTTATCTGAAGGCAGAATCTAGTTGGTTTGTAGCTGGCATGTTTATCACAAAAATCATTACATGTACACTTGACAAAAATGTTCGTTGGTCTAATGAATGAAAATATTTACAAAATCTCACAGTGCTAAATAAATGGAAGCTGTACGAGGGAAGCAGGTAGAACTTTACTGCTCTCCCTTTTTGGGCCCAGCAGTTCCTGCCTGTGACCCTAATGGTCCCAAGCAACTGATGTCAGTCCATACAGATTGGATGGTGCCTGGACACTGACACATCTTACACTTTCATCCTTCTGCAGGGCTCCTCACTCCAAAGACTTTGGTTTTGCTTTGGAATGTCTGGTTTCCCAGGTCATATTCTTTATGTACAGCCATGCTGTCAGGCAATACCTGTAAAAAAAAAAACCACAAAAACAATGTTAAATATTTATACTGTAACTCATTTTGTATGTATCCATGTGTTCCAGGTTTGCATGACTTTTATGTGCCAGGTAGTGTGGTTATCTGTATTAAGTCATTGTACCCTTGTATTTCTATGGAGTAGGTATCATTATCTCTAATTTGAGCATGAATACTTTGAAGGGAAAAAAATAAAAGGTAGTAGTCTGACCAAAGATACATAATAAATGAGTCATGGACTACCTGTCATTAACCGCTACGCTACAGTGCCGCTTGCCTGTTTGTGTAGCTGTATTTTCCCAACTCATTTTTATTTTGGGAAAGAGTAAAAAGAATCTTGAAGCTTACTTTGCTACCCTTATTTTTAATTTTCTAAGTTTCAACTGAGATTTCTTTTGAGTTATATTGCTGATAACTATAGAATTTAGGTATATAAAATATGTAAAAAATAAAATTCAGAATAATGCTATTGTTTGGTTACATAGTAAAGGGTTGCTGTAACAACTCAAGTCACACACTGAAACTCTAAAAAACAAGTTTGACTTAAAATAAGTAGCTATTTTTGTACCTCTAGGTCAAGTCTCTCCCAAAAGGTAGCATTTATACAAGATAACTATCATCACTTCAAAATTGTGACCATTATATTTTATTGCTTGCTATTCAATTATCTTGTAAAAACTGATGATTATATGCTTCCCTTTATATTGGAAGATCTCATTAAACACCAAATTTCAGCAAATTAGTTGTCATACTTACTAACTACACAAAAACTGCAGTTACGTGTCAGAATATTTAAAAATGCCAGTTTTTCATACTTGTTCCTATTAGTATATAAGCTACTAGCACACAAAGATCATACCTTAAGCATAATTTGAATTGCCTTGTTAACCTGTGCCCTGTGAGGGTTTTAATACTTCAGGACTGACCCTGTGAGAAATGCAAGATCATTACAACTCAGACAAAACACGAAATTTCTTCATCTATAAAAACAGTGGGAATGTCAACATTTTATTTGCCGGGGATAAGGGAAACATAAGTGAAATAAATTTTATAACATAACTCACACTTCATTACAAGTGATTTTTCCTAAATCCACAACTTTCACATTTGGCTGAAATAAAGATTTAAAAAACAAAAAAACCTAAGGTAAACCATAGAACTTTCACTAGATACAAGCAGGCCAACTCTTATGATTTTTCCAAATGAGTTTAAATGAGAATGAGCACGCTTTTCTAGCTGGGAAAGTATTTTCTGTAACTCAGCAGACTTAAATAATTTTCATTTAGACTACTTCAGTGTTCTTATGTTGCCCTTTGATCTTCTTAGATACCATTATAATTACAAAAAATACATTTTTCTTAATGGATTCACATGTCTATCAACTTTAGCACCCTCTGGATGTAATAAGAACACAGATATTTAAACTACACCTCTTCTTCACTCCTAATAGTAGCTCACTTAGAAAACAATGAGGAACAAATACCCCAGCCTAAAGGCACCTAAAAATGGAGAACATTCGGAGACTGAGCAAATACTGTCTCCAAGAAGATATTAAGTCGTACTAGAAATTTTTGGAATCTAATTTTCTCCCCAACTTCAGACCTACATAAGGTGTGACTCCTGGGGTTTGTTAATGGCCCCTTCTGAAACTCATTTTCACTCATTTTTTTCCCCTGTGAAAGAGAACATTAACCAGTGCCTGCTTCATACCGCGGACTTTTAGGCTTAAAAGCCCCTTGATAACTACTATGTCCATCCATGGTGAAATCACTTTTTAAATACACACTGTCAGAAGACTCTCCTCAACGGAGACTAAAGTCACTCTCCCTCCCTAGAAACCACGGGAAAAAGATTTTGTCCCCTACTTGTAAATGAGATCTCCCTTTCTCCTCCGACCTCCCAGTGCCTCTCCCCAACAGGCCAGGCTGCCTTAGGAGATGGCTGGGAGAAAAGGCAACGCTCAGTCCTCCATGACAAAGTCTTTGGTCTTTTCCTCCTGATCCCCCACTTTATAGCGCAGCAGTACACGCAGATGTCGGGGGTTGTCCCGGGAGGGCAGCAGCGTGATCTCTCCTGAAATGTCCGTGTCCTGCTCCACTTGCACTGGCTCATTCAGATAAAGCAGAGCCTGTTTCCAGTGAGTGGCTGGGTGAAAAGGCGAGGTGGACAGCACCAGAGGTTTCTCTGAGTCCCCTCCAGGGAAGGTCACTTGGAACCAGATGGCAAAACCATGCAACGGAGCCGAGCCATAGCAGCTGCAGCGGAAGCGCCCGCCCACTCCCGCCTCCAGCTCCTGCTCCAGGCCGGCGCGGGCCAGCTCGAGTTGAGCAAAGCGCTGCGGCCGGGCCAGCACGTCTTCACCCGACAGACCATGTACCACGATCTCAGAGTGACCCATGAGGCAGCGCGTGGCGAAGCCCTCCATGCAGCTCATGTCCACGCCGTAATGCTGTTTCACCTGGCTCCAGAAACCTAGGCGCCATTCCAACATCTGGTCGCTGATGGGAGCGATGAAGAGCTCGGCGGAAGCCGGCAGGAGGAGACCGCCTTCCTTCAGCCATTTGGTCCGCGCGTGGAGCACAGAGCTGAGCATGGACTCGTGCAGCAGTCCGTAGCCCATCCACTCGCTCACGATTGCATCCACCCGCTCCGGCAACTCCACCGTCTCCACTGGACCGGGCAGGACATGTACGCGGTCCTCCAGCCCGTTCAGCCGCACCACCTCGCGTGCCTGTTGCCAGATGGCGCTGGCCTCCACCGCGTACACGCGCCGGGCCCCGGCTTGGGCACAGAAGATGCTCAGGATGCCAGTCCCCGCGCCCACGTCCAGCACCGTCTTGCCTCGCAGCGCTGCCCAGTTGCGCAGGATGCCTAGGCGGTAGGCGTCGGTGCGGACGCGGTCGGCGATCATCTCCTCGTGGACCGACACGTCTGAGTAGCATTCGTAGTACAGCTGGTCCCGCTCGCGCTTAGTCCTCCGCGGTCGCGGGGGGGCCACATCGAACTCCCCGTCATCTTCTTCTCCTGTTCCCTCCCCTCCTTCGCTGCCACCCCCAGACTCAAGCTTCCTTTTCTTGGGCTGCGACATCTTGGCGGCTATGACCCACTCCCGGCGGGCGTTGCGCGGCGGGGCGTGGCGCGGGCTCCGAGCAGGGACTTCTGGGACTTGTAGTTCGGGCGTGTGCTTCTCTCGCGGCCGCCCTGGCCCGGAAGCTGCAGCCCCTTCCCCTTCCCTTCTAGTTTTCTGCGTCGTTGAAATCCTAGAATCCCTGTCTCTCATTCTTAGGATCCTCACTCACTTCCTTCCTGAAGGAGGCACGCCCACTTAAGACTAGAAACACACTTTGTTTTCTGTTTGTCCCCCGCCCACCCCACCCCCTTGTTTTAGCGCACCAGATCACTGAGCCACTTACGCACCACCTCTCCGGGCTGGTGGAACTTTTCACGTTTTCAACTTTTCAAGAAGTGCGAGTTTGGAACTTGCTTTTGCTTTCAGTGGAGTTAAGGTAGAAAGAAGGTGTAAACAGGACCAAGTAAAAGCTTAACAGTGCAAAACCATGGTTTAGATTCTAACGTGACCACTCATATGTCAAAGAAAACCTCCCTGGATTTACCTCTTCTCCCACCAGAGAAGAACCATTTTTACAAGAACTGTGTCTGGTCTCTGTTGAAGAGAATAGTCACTAGGCTGTGGGTCTCATTGTGGTAATTGTGCGCCTCATTCAAGAGAAAACAGTTAAAAACGCGACAGTGATGTGGTGCAAATCCATTGCCAGTGCATTTTGGTAACCTGTTTTATATATATATATTTTTTTCTGCTCCAGATGTAACGAAGCGCTTCATGCTATTAAAAAAAAAAGTTTTTTTTCACTGCATATAATTTGTTGATGGGTGTTTCCTTGTACGGGCAAGCTTCATATCCACTTCTTCTATTTCTCAGTCAACCATCAGCTGTTACTCGCTTCTTCGCTGCACATAATGGAAATAAAATACATTTTTAAGTGTGTGGTGTCTCTTAAAGAATAAGTGAGATGGCAATAACATTTTCTCCTAGTTTAAAAATATTCACAAAAAAAGAAAATGAAATTTTATTTTCCTTTGGTGTCAAAATATACCCATTTAATCAATGAGCATGCTGTTTTCCTTGTGTGGGAAAAGAATTCCTTCATTCTGTTTTATTAATCTTTCATTAACAGATTGGGTTTACTGATGTGAAAGACTCAGTTTTACTTGTAACACAGGACTCTGAATCTTGGCTGTTCCTAAGGAGCTTTAAAAAATTATCTATGCTTATGTCCACCTCAGACCAATAAAATCACATTCCTTTTGCTGAAACCTAGACTTGTAGTTCTTAAAAGTGCCCCAGGCAACTCTAGTTACCTCGCTGTTTCTTCCTGAAATGATCTTGGTTAGATCTTGCGTTATTTACATTAGATAAATTACATTTTTTTTCATTAGCCTAGGCCCAACTACCTAAGATCAGATATCCTTAACTTTTAGATATCCTATCCTTTTTCTTTCTGCCCTTGTTTAATACCGTATTTTAAGAAATTACAGGCTCAGAGAGAAAGTGGAATTTGAGTTGTATATGTGACAGCATAACATTACTTTTGAGGTGTTACTCGGTGTGCACTCCCATTCTTTCCTCAGAATATCATTTTCCCCTTTAAATGTGTTCACTTCTTCACCCAGTTTTCATTCCTTGTGGCCTCTTCTGTAAAAATTATAAATTTTGTTCCTTTTGACTCAAAATATATTTTGCATTCATTTATATTGCTCCACTTTCATTGTCAACACCTTACACTAATCTTTTTCTTGCCTAAAAATCAGACTCCCAAGTGATCTCCTTTCTATTCACACACTATCTAAATCCGTTTTTAAATACAGTAGAAAGAAGCATGAGGATTTAAAAATCCAATTTTGCTAGGTTTGGTGGTGCATGCCTGTAATGCCAGCATTTGGGAGGCTGAGACAGGATGTTTGTTACAAATTCAGAACCATCCTGGAATACTTAGTAAAACTCTTCTCAAAAAGCTAAATAAATCATACAAAACCCAAATTTGGCTGGGAGTGTTGGTACATGCCTATAATCCCAGCACTTGGGAAGTTGAGGCAGGAGGATCACTGTGATTTCAAGGCCAGCCTGGGCTATGTAGTAAGTTCAAGGCCAGCCTAACTACATAGCAAGACCTTGTCTCAAAAATAAAAGCATAAGAAATAAAAACCCATATTTGATCATATCATTCACTCCTAACTTCCCATTCCAGTTAATGGATGGTGCGCATCTCACCTCATAATAGCATTCCACTCCTCATAGAGTCAAACTGTGCTGATCTCTTAAAAAAGCACCCTTGTTTCTGTATCAGGTCTTCACTTACTGTGAATTCACTGCACAATTGTTTTCCCCCCTAGCACTTCACTTTCATGGATTTTTGCTCATTTTCAGCTCTCATGTTACCTCTAGAGAATGACCTTCCCTGACTACTTGTTTTTAACCTCCATAACTTCTTGGCTTTTATTATCTCTATATATTTAACTTGTTTTATGTAATATAAACTCCAGGAGGCTCAGACTGTCATTTCTCCACTATTATAATTCTTACCCCAACAGCAGCCCTTTAGACATACGAGGACTCAGTAAATTGTTTGTGTTTTGGTTTTGGCGTTTTGATAATGATTCTTGAACAGAAGAGCTTTGTGCATATGATGCAAGACCTCTAACACTGAGGTACATTCCCAAACCTTTAAAAAATTTGACAATTTGTATACAGTCTTTCCTTTATATACTTGCCCTGGTGGACTCAGACTTGGAATCCTCCAGCTTTAGCTGCTCCAGCACTGACTAGCTAAGATTAGATGTGTGTGCCATCTCACTGACTTCTATAGCCTTGAATGAAGACTACTGTGGATATACAAATTGTTATTCAGAAAGGAGGAAGGATTAGAGTTACACAAAGTTAAGTATAGCAATGCAACAATGTGAGTCTGGCAAACTCTAAAATTAATTTAATATAAATTGAATTTAAAATCTCCAAGAAATGAGAATAGTTTCATTTTTTAAAACTTCAAGATAGAATAATGGTAAAGTCTAAACATAGAGCAGAGAAGAAAAGTCCATAGTACTTTCCCTTCCAGCACTTTGGATTAATGCAAAGACAAAGTTCAATACCCATTTGTTTTGAGTCATTGTAAATCAGAACAGCTGTAAGTCTTTTAGCTGTAAGCTTCTTGGGTGGGAGTAGAGCTGCTACCATGCTGGAAGGATCTTTTTTGTGCTTCTTTTGTGTCAATGGTCTCCTTGCCACATCTAGACAGTGGCTCAAGCCCAGTGTGTTTCCAAAAAATGTATATGGAAATGAACAATAAAAAGATGAAATATGTCAGAAAATATCTAATAATAAATGAGTAGAGGTAGGTATTGTTTCATAAATCTTGTGTCTTGCTGGATGTGGTGGCCCAGGTCTGTAATCCCAGCACTCTGGAGGCTGTGACAGGAGGATTGCTATGAATTCGAGACCAGCTAGGACTATGAAGTGAGTTCAAGAGCAGCCTAGACTACACAGAAGAATTTGTTTCAAAAAAACAAATCGTGTTTCAGTTAAGGGTACTATATGTACATTTCTTGATACAGGTTAGGTTAAAAACTTTGAAATTCATAGCTTACTATTTTCTCTCACTGCTAACTTTGACATTTATGTCCTTTTGTTTTGGGTACTAGAACTCTTATTTTCATCCTCATCTTTTAGATAATTCTCAAATAAACTACTTTTTAAAAAATGTTTTACTTATCCTCTTTTGTCAGACAATCCCTAGCTTCCTCATACCATGCTGCATCCTGTGAGCATTGAACACCAGGATTTAGTATTTTTCACTTTTATTTTGAAGACCTAGTACATCGTGCTGGAATGTGAACCATTTCTACATCTCAGATTGTTAACCATTTCCACATTTCAGATTGGATCACAGATGTGCTTTACTTGACCAGAAGGATCATGATCAGTTTTCTGTGTCACACATACCCATTTTCTCAGTCATTCATTTATTTAAAAAGTATTCTGGGCTTCTGTCCTGCACTAAAAATCATTCTAAAAGCAGAAAACGTGCCACTAAACAAAAGGACAAAAATCCTTACACTGAACAGATGTATATTTTTGTATATTCAAAAATGGACTTAAAGCCTAGCATAAAGACTGAAAATATTTCCTTATGAGTTTCAGGAAAACACTTTAATTTTTAAAATGTGTATTGAGAAAGGGCAAAGGAGCAATGATATGAAGAATATTACAAATATCTTTGATATGAATATTCATTAAATAGTATAGTTTTTGTTCTGCAGTTACTAGGAAGATGCTAGAATAGCAAAAGGCACTTCTGTCAAACAAAGAAATCCTTTGTAGAAAATAAAGACAAAAGATGGTTACTTTGTATTTAAACAAATTGGAACATTAAACATAAAAATCCTAGATATGTTAAACGCTTGATATACATGGTGTCTTTTAGCTCCATGATGTGTGGGCCTGGCTATTAAACCCAATACTAAAACAGATAGTTCTCTGGTAATACTTTTGGAAATATTTCTATTGACTTCTTTAATGATAACAGGAATATTATGGACTTCATCCATAATTAGCAATATGGTTTATAGTTATACAATGTGACATTCTAGCAATTTCAAGTGTAAATATTTACTAGGGTATTTTAATATTCTGTGCTACAAATCAGGCTACCATTAGAGAAACAGTACAGAAAAACTGGAATGTAAATTATAATAAGGGAACAAATAATGTATCAGAGTTCCTGCTGACATAAGCAATTGCTCATTTGCCCAAGGCATGATAAGAATGAGATAGCTAAATGAAAATCAGTCATTAAGCCTAATGAGTACCATGTAAAAGACAACAATTACTTTTTATCAGATGCTTTCTTTTTCTTTCTTTCTTTTTTGCTATTGCTGAGGGAATTTAAACAGCACAGAAGTAATTGTCATCGTAGTTATCCAATGGTTCTCAAACTGTGGTCTCTGGACTATCAGCCTCGGTATTGTCTTGTAACTTACTATAATTCCAAAATCTTGGATCCTGCCCTAGATATCATGAGTTAGAATTTCTGAAAATAGGCTCTTCAGTCCTTATTTTTACTGATGAATCTGATGCACACTGAAATTTGAGAACTACTTTGTATTCCTAGACAAGCTAAAAAGTGCTAGCACTAGTGTAGGGCCAAACATGATCTATGCGATGGAGGGCACATTACTTTTTTTTACAACTATTTAATGAATTTCTACAAATTTAGCAGCTTACATAAAATATAATTTTCATATCATAGTGTCCTTGGAGCAGGAGTGCAGACAAAATTTAGGTGTGTCTTCTGCAGGACAGTCAAGGTTCTGATCTGGAAGTCTTCTGGACCTATGGGTTCTCTTCCAAGCTGTCTTAGTAACTTTCTTGTCACTAAGATACAATACTAAACACTCATGATTTAAAGGAGAAGTTTATTTTGGCTCACAGTTTGC